ATTATTTCAATATACTTGTTTATGTGGATTATAATAATGTAACTTAAGATTTGCAAATACTTAAATATACATTTTTTTGATGTAAAGTATTTTCAACGGTTTGATTATTGCAAGAAGATTGTTGATGTCTTGAATAAAAATAAAACAAATTATAAATAATTTAAGTTTAATTATAATTTAATTTAATAATCAAACAATTTACATTGTTGTTTACAATTATTTATTATTTATAATTCATAAATAACAAAATTATTAATTTTGTGATTAATTATTAATAAAAGTCAAAACATACAAATTATATTTATAAAAAATAATAATTCCATTGGAAATTTAAAACAAATTGTGTTTAATTGTTAATATAATAAATTGTTTGTATATTATGTTAGTTTTAATAAAAAGTGTTTAACAAACAATAAGATATTTTTATAATATCTTACTTAAAATACGACATTTTTAATTGGAAAATGATATATTTACATCTATTGTTATTTTATAACAATTTAATAAAATATTGTTATGCGATTAATCTAATTAATAAACTGGTGATAAAACAATCAGATTATTATTGTAAATAACATAAAGAATATTATTATGTTATACAATGTTATCATTGTTTTGTAAATTTTAAATTAGTAATACTTCAATTTAAATAACTTTTTTTCTTAATTAAGTCAAACCCATATTTTAAATTCAATCATTTTTATACCCATTTTATTCATTTTGATTTACAATTAATAAATATATTTATTTTATAAATCAATATAAAAATTTCAAATACAGTAAAACCTCCCAAGAGCTGTACCTCTGAAGAGCGGGTTCTCTCAAGAGCGGGCATTTTTTAGACTAAAACTAAAAATAGAGTTCTCTATCGAGCGGTAATTGAGGTTTGATTGGCTAAAAATGCCCGCTCTTGAGAAAACAAAATTCCCACGCCCTCCCGCTCTTGGGAGGTTTTACCGTACAGACTTGTTTATATTGAAAAAAAATATATCGAGCCTTAGATTATAATCATTGTTTTAGCTTTTACAAAAAATTAAACATTGTATTATTTTTTTAATATTAAATAATATTAAATAATATTAAATAATATTTACTTGAAATGTTTCAGTTGAAAAAACTTAAAATAATTGTTTTTTTTGTTAAATATGTTGACAGACTTTTTCAAATAAATTGTGTTATAATAATTTAAAAGTTTCAAAAATTGTGACGTTAAATTAATTATTATTGTTGATAAATTAATCAATATTTCAATTTGAGATGTTACGAATTCCAATTTCACATTCAACATTACTTGCATTTTTTGGATGTTTCTTATCATTAAAAAAAATAAAAATGAAACAAGTAAAACAATTATAATGAAAAAGGTCTATTTGTCGTGAATACGGTACAAAAATAATTTCTTAGTTGGATTTGAAAGAATTTTTTTAGAAAGATTGTTTTAAAATTAAATTTTATTTTTAGAGAAATTGGTTAAAATTCAACAAAAAGCACAGATTCAAAAACAAAAGTTATTTTTCATACATTAAATTGATTGGCCATTTGTGCTACAAAAAGACTCTTTTTACCTTTATTAAAAAATATCGATTTAAATTAAAAAACTATATGTATAGTTGGTTTTAACTATTGTTAATTAAAAGTTAATTTTACATTTATTACTTACTTTATAAATAATTTAAAACTATTATTTTACTTATTTAATTATATTTATTTACCAATAATGAAACAAATGAACGAACAATACAATCAATCAAAATATCCAAGCGACTCTCTCCTTCTCTTCTTCTACACATTTCTTATTTTTTCTTTGTATATTATTTATAATATATATATATTATAAATAAAAGCGCTCATACCTCTATAATATGTTGTCTGGACTGTTATATCATGCCGTATAAGCGCTATTAATTTATTTAATTATTTTTTTATTTATACAGTCCATTTTTACTTAAACAACAAAGAGGGACTCTTTTATCAGCATAAAAAAGTCACGATGGCAATGGCTATTTTCAAGTGGATATATTTTAATCAATTGTATTGGTTGCCGACTCTGTTCAGCCGGCGTTCCGTTGAATGATTACGTTCTATGTGGTTAATACTTTAAATGTTAAAATAAATAGAAACAACCAATGTGCTGATGATTATAATGATTTTTATAACCAAATGGGGAAGGGCGCTTAGTCTACTTGTTGAAAATAAGAGAATATATTTGTTTTTGTCAATTCTGTTAGATATTTAGAAATAACGCCTCTGTTGTTATTGTATTTTTAGCCATAGTTTCAATAAATTTGAGAAATAATATATTAATTGTCAATTTTTCAAAGGAAAGAGAGTATTTTTTCATTTTTGTTATTTTTTCTTTTACCACAATGTTGTTGGTATATGTTGCGTAATTGGTGTGATTTAATTCTGTGATTGTTGTATAAGATAAACATACAGAGTAATACAAGCAATAAAATGTAAGCTTGTATATTTTAGACATGCCCATTTGGTTAAACACGACATATTTCTCGAGAAACTATGATAATGTTACTACAGTTAGCCATTTTTCAATCAATGTCTTTAATTATTTAATTCTTGTTTTATATACTGTTTATTCTTTCTATTTTTGATTTTCCCATTTACAATTTATAAATAACACCATTAATCTATTAATACAATGTTGAAATAATGCAAATTGGATCTTTGAATGCTTTATTTTACTTCTTTCATGGTTTTATTATTTATTTAATGCAATTAACTTGTTTGAAATGACATTATTTTAAAATTTCATTTTATAATTATCAAATAAGAATTGTGTCGTATATGCTATTATTTATAAAATAATCGAAACAACGCCATTGTGTCTCTTTTTTGTTATCCAATCTTTTGTATTGTATTTTTATTTGAATAATGAAATCAAAGTATTTCAAAAATATAAATAAAAGGCATATTTTACAAAAAATATAAATACTTTTTTATTTTTGAAATAAAACACCTTTTGTTTTTTACAGTTCTATTTTAATGTTTACATTGTTGTCGTCGTTACAATTGAGTGTTTTATTTCATTGTTTTAAAACATCTATAATAATTATTATCATTAACTATTTAAATTTATTTTTTTTAAATAATAAAATTCTATTTTTAAATTAAAAAGTAACTGTTATTCAAAAAGTCAAAACAAAAAAGTGTCTATCAAAAAAAAACGAAATATTAGTGTTCATATAATTCCAACTTTTTCATCAAGCTAAAAAAACATATTTAAACAATTTTGACAAAATTATAATTTTAATAATTATTAGAATCATAAATAACAATAATTTTTGTTGTATAATTAAAAAATCATTTTATAACACTTATTATTATAAATAATATTGTATTGTCAATTTTTAAATAAACAACAAACACAAAAAAACAAAAATTCAAGGCTGTATTTGTATTTATAAATTTGACAACACAAATCATTTATATGTCGAATTAAAAATGATTTTAAAGTAATTTAATAAATAAATAAAAAACTTATTGGTTGATTATTTTTAATAATATAGTTTTTATTTTGTTATTTGTTTGATTGTTCAAATATATGATTATTCTTTCTTATAATTCTCTCATAATCTACTATTATTGTTTGTGTTTTTTGACATAAAAGTTGATTCTTATTAATTTTGCAAAGATAAATTTACTATTTTTTACTATTTTGAATTATTTCTTTTTGAATACTTAACAATACTTTTTCTTCTTGTATTTTAAGCAAATTAATTGATATTGTAAAGTAAATGAAAGGTTTTAAAGTATCAGCTCTAAACGTGATATTTGAAATAACTTTTATTTCTGGAAAAAAATAATTTTTAAACTATCTAAATGTTTTTTGATAATTTTACGAGTTAATCATTGTCATACAAAAGTACTGTGGCAACGTGTTTAAACAAATCATCTGACTAACGTACGTTTGTAAAAACATAGGACTAGTTGTTTTTAAGTACTTTTTATTGTAAAGGGTTTCTTGAGGATAAGGTGTATCCTCAGGATCAAAGCTATCCTTATTAAAAAATATTTTTCTGAGGATACAAAAAACAAATCCATAAGGTTCAGTTCCCCATAAAGCCCACTTTCATAACTCAAGTTATAATTTACACTTAATATTTCGAGTCAAAGTTCAATTTTTAAATGATGGTAATAATTTGTCATAAATGCCAAAAGATTAAAAACAATCAAAAAATCGTTACGATAATTTATAAACATAAACAATAATTATAACTCGCTAACTTGAGACGGGAAATAATAAAGTGTGAATTGTACTTGTTCACATTATAATTATAAACTTATTGATATTATTTACGAATCCGTTTTAATAACAAAACGATTGAAATTTACGTTTAAATCGATAATTGTTTTTTTTATCAAAATGAAAATTGAAAAAGTCGAAAACACTGTTTTTTTAAAAATGCATTTTTTTAAAAAAACAAATTTATAAATATTTTTGTAATTTATGCAATTATTCAAATTTATTGTAATAACAAAGTTAATCATATTGTGTATATTTTAATATGATTGTTTCATTTTGATATTAACTTGTGTTTTAAACAAATATACAGTTCTGAGGATGGCATTTATTTTCTGAGGATGACAGAAATAGAAAGTTTACACTTTTACATCTATCTGAAATATATATTGAGTAAGTTACTATTTTTGAATATGGGAACACGTCATTTCACTTTTTAGATGTTTAAGTCTGTGTTGACAATGTTTGTTTGTTACACGACTTACCATCCTCAGAGATATTTATAGCACTGCCACTTCTGATTTAAAAATCTATATTTAACATTTTCAAAGATTATTTATAAAGTGGGTTTTTGTTTATTGATTATATCAATTAATCGTCAAAACACAACAAAAACGCCAAATAATATATAAAATTGATTATTGAATTAAAGATACATTTATTGAAATTAATATTATATTATATAAAAATAATATAAACATATATTTCTTGTGTATATATGTTTTGAAAAATAAATAAAACCTTTTTAAACAAAAACAATAATTTTACAAATTTGTTTATTTATCAATCGTTGTTTTATCGATCTTCAAAACCTCGCGTTTTGAATTTGCGCAAATACATAAATTGTCGTCGCATAAAGTATTAATTATCAATATGTTATTTGCTATCAATTTTTATTGTTTGAAATTTCATAAATTGATTTTTAATAAATTGTATTTTTTTGTGAAAAAAAGATTGAAAATTGTTAGATTAATTTGTTTTGTGATTTTGATTAAAAAATTGACTTTTTCGATAAATTAAATCAATTTTTATTGTTTTCATATAAACCAAGGTTAGTCAAGTGGTAAATCAGAAAATAGAAATAGATTATTTTTTTGTAAAAATCAACTGAAAGAATCATCTTTCAAAAAATCCATAAATAGCATTTTTAAAGAAAATCACTTGTTTCAAAATATACCTTTTTGATCTTAGGCAAAAAAATCCAAAATGAAAGGAATTATGTTTAAGATATTTACCATCCTCAGAAAAATTAACAATCCTCATGAATCCCTTAAGAAAAAGCAAAACAATAATATTGGGATGTTCATTTTTTGTTTTAAAAAATATCAAAAATGTTTTGGACACTTCGGAGATATCAAATAATCATTTAATTGTAAACACTGTTATTGTTACTGGGTGTAATTTGAGTTCAATGCGTTGTCAATTTGTTATACCTGTACTAAATATGATACAAACTGTGCTTCATGTAATGCTATGTTATGTTTGGGCTGCAATCGAAATTACATTTTAAAGGATGGGAAATGTGTAAAGTGCGAGGAGTTGTTTCCGAATTGCATAGAATGTACAACTGAAACATGTACCAAATGCTTACCAAATTATTTGGATAAAAATTCAATATGCCAACCATGTTCTGAAGTTTATACCAATTGTAACTTATGTAATAAAATTCAGTGCCAAGAATGTGATGTGGGATATTTTGTTGATAATAACCAATGTAATAAATGATTAACCAAATATCAAGGGTGTCAAATTTGTGACGAAACCAAATGTACGATTTGTGAAGAAATGTATCATTTAAATGGAAATATATGTGTTAAATGCAATGAAACGTTCCACAATTGAATAACGTGTTTATCAATCCGTTTTTACACGTGTAAAAATGGATTTTTTGTTGACCAGATTGTTTGCAGAGAATGTAAATCACAGTTCACAAATTGCATTGTATGTGATGAATCAAGCTGTCTTGAATGTGAAAATCGGTTTTATCTGGAAAGTATTGTTTGTAAACTATGTAATTCCAAATTTGATAATTGCATATCTTGTGACGCGTCAAAGTGTTCTGTATGTGATAAAAAATTGTTTATAGAAAATGGAACTTGTACTTTATGCTCTTTTGAATTTCGTTCGTGTTATAGATGCAACGCCACAACATGTCGTTCTTGTTTAAATGCTTTTTATTTGGACAATGGTATCTGTTCAACATGTGAAACAATACATCCAAATTGTGAAGTGTGTGATGAAACGGATTGTTATAAGTGCAAAAATAAACTCTTTTTACGTGATGGGAAATGCCTTAGCTGTGGTGATATCTATAACAATTGTACAAAGTGTGATGAGACAAGGTGTTTGGAATGTATGGACCACTTTTATTTGTCGAATTACAACTGCGATATTTGTAAAACAAATTGTGATGTTTGCCACTCTGAATCAACCTGTTCCAAATGTTTTGATGGATATTATTATAAGGAAGATGACAAGATTTGTTCGTTGTGTAACATGAAAGGATACTACATAGACAGTAAAAGTTGTAAAAAGTGCAATGCAAATTGCATCGATTGTTTGTCTCAAACAAAATGTGTGTCATGCATCGAGGGGTATTATCTCGTTAATACCACGTCAGAAGAAATGACAGAATCTTTTGGAAGATGTACAGACTGTTCAACGCGTGGTTGTACAACATGCAATTCAACATCGTGTATAACATGTGAAATCAATAAATACATTGATGAAGGTGGGTTGTGTTCTGTGTGTAAACCCGATAATGACAAATGTATTTCATGCTTCATTGATGAAAACCGAAACAAAAAGTGTGATAAATGCAAACTGGGATTTTGGATAGAAGATTTCGAATGTGTGACTTGTGAAACATGTGGAAGTAGTGGGTGCTCTAACAAAACAAATGGACTTTGTTTCAACTGTTTATCTCCCAACGAAGTTTTAATTGAGGGTATTTGCCAAATTGATGAAAATTGTATTTCCATTGAACCCAAGAGAGTGCCTGTGTGGTGTGTGAATCGGATTATGTTTTGATTGGGAAAAGGTGTGTCAAAACACAACAAAATACAACAAAAGAACTTATTAATTTCGAAGGAAATTATTTCACAAAAGATGAATTTCATTGCAAAGAAGTATCTGATTCAAATTGTGTTTTGTGTTTGGAAGAATATTATCTAAAAGACCTAAAGTGTCTCAAATGTGATGAAATACTTACAAACTGCATAAAATGCGGACTTTTGAATTACTCAAATTACAACGAAGTTTACTGTGATATTTGTACCATTGGAAATTACCAAAACGTTGTTAATAAATGATTATATTATTAATAGTGGAATATTTAAATAAACAATCACAAATAAAAAAGAAATTAACATAAAGAATAAAATTTTGGTAAAAGTAAATAAAATAATGAATATAATAATCAAATATAAAAAAAATGAAAAATATATTAATAAAAAGCTGTGTTAATTGTAAATAATTAATTAAAATAATAATAATGTTAAGAATATAAAAATAATATTAGAAATATTTGTATCTATTTATTAATAAGATTAAAGTCAGTTGTATCAACACTTTGTTGTTTAATATTCTTATTAAGATTTTCAATTTATATATTCATTCATTATTTCCTTTATTTTTCATTTTATATTTTATTTATTTTTTTTAATATTAAATTTATTTATCATTTTTTAATATTAATGTGATTTTCATGGATTTTAACATAATTTTTTTATTTATTTAAATCATATATTTTAATAATTTATAATTATTTGATTTTTTTATGTTTTTTTATTAATTGTATTTTTAAAATTAATGATAAAAATATCCAAAAAAGAAATTGATGTTTGTTAATTTTAACTTTTTAAAGTCATATTGTTTTTTTATGGAAACAAACTTTTATTCTTATTATTTTAATTATCTTATTTTTAATATTCTAATATAAAATTTATGTTTTTTACATTTATATATAAAACTCATACATTAATGTATCTACTTTATAAATCGTTTGATAATAATCACGCAAATAAAAAAGAGATTAAAATAATTATATTGATATATATGTTTTAAATTGGTGTTAATCGCATGACAATAAAAAATTGTGTTTAACACTTATAAAACCGAAACATGCAAAAAACAAGTTTTTTAAATTTTCTTTTCCCAAATAACAATTTTGCCAAAAGGTATAATCGAAAAAAATATTTTTTGTATGTGATTTTTTGGAAATAATTAATTAAATTAATTCAATGTCGGGAAGAGTTTTAATTTAGTTTTTTATGTTTTTATTCTTAAAAGTATGGAGTGTGAACAACCTGAAGAACCAGAATATTTCTCAAGTGATGACGAAGCTGAAGAAAATGTTAACATTAATTTTGGAGAAGAGATAATATGTCCTCAAAATAGTTATGAAAAACATGTTATTTTTGAACCCCAACACGTATTAGATAATCCTAATAAAATTGTTAAAAATTGGGAAACAATTGATCCAGTTTTTGGGGAAGCAGATTTTTCAAAAATGAACCAAAATTACAGAAAAAATGAAATTATTGGTATTTTTTCTAAAGAAATTGAATGTTTTGAAAAAATTATAACTCCCGATTTTTTGGACTTGATTGTGGCAGGAACAAATGAAAAGGGCCAATCGTTAGTTAAAAATTGGAAAGTTACAGACGTGGATGAAATAAATTGTTTTATTGGTGTTATGATATATTTAGGAGCCATGCAAAACAAAGGCCCGATTTCCCGATTTTGGAGTTCAGAATTCGGGCGTCCTTTTCCAAAAATTGCTATGGATAGAAATCGGTTTTATGAACTTTTTCGAAGTTTCCGTTGTGACCTCAAAGCAACAAGGGAAGAAAAAAGAAAAGAAACGGTATTTCCAGCTGTAAAAGATTTATTTGAAATATTTGCCCGAAATATTACGCAAATTTCTACACCGGGTCAGTTAATTTGTGTGGATGAAAGAATTTTCGGTTTCAAAGGGCGTTGCAAAGGGATTCAATATTGCCCTCAAAAACCAATCAAACGGGGGTTAAAATTTTACCGTGTTTGTACTTACGACAAAAAACTTTGTGTTGGAATGACTTTGTATGAAGGCAAAAAAGAGTCAGAAATCGGGAAAACTGATGAACTGCATCACGGAGAGTCAGTAGTGATGAAATTAGTCGAAAATTTAATTCCAAAAGATGCTCCTAAAATAGAATTTTTACTACAAAGCGACAACTACTTTACTTCTATAAGAGTAATTAACTCGCTTGAGTCGCAAAAAATCGGGTACATTGGCACAATGAATCAACGAAGTGCAAACATACCTCCAGAGTCAAAAAGGAATACAATGTTAGAAAAAGAGAAATATTTGACAAAAATGGAAAAACAAACTTCAAAAAAGTTAGAACAATTTGAAAAAAGAGAAAATATTATATTTAAAAAAATGGGTATGTTGGCATCACAGAACGAACTAAATCGGGAAAAAATGGATATTTTGGAAAAAGAAGATTTTGAAAATATACAAAATTTAAAAACAACAAAAATGGAAATGGAAAAAATTGAATTGGAAAAAACCCGATTAAATAAGGAAAAAGAAACCAATCCTCAAAATATTCGATTTTGAAAACAGGATTCAATTCTTTTGACTTCATTTAATCCGAAAAAACTAAAACTGTGATAATTGCGACAAATTCTCTAAATGTCCCGATAATTGACCCCAATAAGGCCAAATCAGAAATTAATGTATTATATAATTACACAAAAACACCTGTTGATACATTCGATTTCCTATGTCAAGAATATTCAACAAAAACAAAAACAAGGAGATACAATATGGTTGTTTTTCAAATATTCTGGATTGTGCAACG